AGTACTTCATCATTGCCTCTACTAACCTTCCCTCCAATGAGCAGTTGGGCTTTATTTTATGTTCAGGCCACATTATTTCTAAGTGAGTGATGACTAACCAAGGTCTTATTACATAATTTCATAGAGTTTACTGTAAAGATTGCAAAGTCTGGACCCAATATAATATAGACTGAAACTGGAATTTGATCACAAGCATCATCACAACCAGACTTCCTTGATCCATAATGCATGCTTACTGGGACACTATGTTAGTGTAAAAGTAATTCTGCAAGTATTTAAGTCTTCTAGTTATATAAGGTCAATTCCTTCTCAAGCCAATCAGAACACGAACACATAAAGAACTCTCTCTCTCTCTATCACCTTGAATTGTTTGATGGGGAAGTATTCAGCCATTTTTAAACATGTGAGCTTAAGGTTTCAGTACCCACTGCACAATCAGCCACAAAACTGTGAGATCTAGTGCACCTACGCCAGGTGTTATATATATTCTGTGCTAAATGTGTCTAGGTCCTTGGGAATAATATAGACAGCCCTTCATATTTGCAAGTTCTCTCAAAGTCTTCCAGTGCACAGTCATCTTCCAATGGAAGTTGACCATAGAATCATGGAGATTGTTTGATCATTGTTACATACAGTTTTGCAGTAATTAAACAAGAATTCCAAAGACATATAAGTCAAGTAGAGAAACCTATTCTGATCTGTTCTGTCATAATATCTCTCTAAAGCAGTGTTTCTCAACCTGTGGGTCCCCAGGTGTTTTGGCCTACAACTCCCAGAAATTCCAGCCAGTTTACCAGCTGTTAGGATTTCTGGGAGTTGAAGGTCAAAACATCTGGGGACCCACAGGTTGAGAACCAAATGTAGCCATCATTGGTATAACCTTCTTCATGTAGCTATACCAATGTGAAGAATTCACCTTTGACGGCAGGTGCTGAAGGTGGTGTCAAACGACTGTGCTATGTGTCCCACATGTCCCACTCTGTTTGCCCTAAGATATGATGGATAACACTGTGTAACCTAAAGTTTGATGTAGGACATTTTATTGAAATTGGAAGTCTATACAAGGAATGGCGAGAAGGAGCCATCTTCTCCTCTCTTTCAGCAAACTGTCTTTGGTAGGTTCTAGCAAGTTGGAATGCAGCAGCAGAAGATGGGCAGAAATTATCTATCAAACACATATGCCACCATTTTCTCTCACAAACATACACACACACTTATGAATACACATACACCACTTCTGTACAAGTAGCAAAAAATAGGCATGGTAAATGACGTATGACAAAAGGAGCTCGTAACGCAGACATAGAGGTTCACATTTGACTGAAGTTGACAGAACATATGTCTCAACATGAAAATTGAAGAGGGGTATCAAAAATCGCTGAGAAGTATACTGCCTACGTCCTTGGATCTGGAACCTGTCCTTTCTTTTGAACCATTACTCCTGTCTTATCTCCCTTCACCATTTGCTTAGAGCAGTGGTTCTCAACCTGGGGTCCCCAGATGTTTTTGGCCTTCAACTCCCAGAAATCCTAACAGCTGCTAAACTGGCTGGGATTTCTGGGAATTGTAGGTCAAAAACATCTGGGGACCCCAGGTTGAGAACCACTGGCTTAGAAGATATTCTTTGATTTTGTTTATAACTCACATCCCTTCCACTAAGGGCTATTTTCAGCAGTGCTGCATTAAACTGACTTTGGAAGAAAAATGGCAAAATGTATATTACTATTAACACAAGTAAATACTGATGATTATGCTATTTTACATATTATAATTTTGCACAGGAAATACTACTGTATTTACTTGAATCTAACGCTCACCTTTTTTGGCTTACCAAAATTAGGGTGCGCATTAGATTTTTGTAATACGGTAATCTGAGCTATGACAATTAAATTACAGATGACATCCCTCAAACAAGAGCTCCAGGTGCTCCGGTAGCAGCTTCCCCTATTGCTTTGGCTCAGCACTAAGATTACCGTATTACAAAAATCTAATGCGCACCCTAATCCTAATGCACACCAGAAAATCTAATGCGCACGCTAATGCTATTCAATTCTAGAATTTGTAGTTTGGTGTGGTATCCACACTCTTTGGCAGAGGAGGCTCAAAACGACAGCCCCCATGACTCCATAGCATTGAACCAAGGCAATTTAAGTGAATTTATTCTATAGCATCCCAAGGTTTTCCTTTCCATTGCTGGAAGCTTTTGTGCTCTAAAATTTTGATTTTTAAAGAAGGAATTCTAAGCAGGCAGCAACTGTAGTGGCCATATTACAAAGAGTGCACCTTTTGATGCTGCGCATTACATTTGCCAGCAAATACTTTTTTGGTTTCGTGGTGTCGAAAATTGAAGTGTGCATTAGGTTCGATGGCACATTAGACTCTAGTAAATACAGTATTTCATATAATAATGTCAAAAAAACAAGAACAAATGTATTTGTATTATGCAATTCAAAAAATTCTTCCACTAAATAAAAGATCCACAAACTAGATTGGAAAATCCACCTCTAAAGAAGCTGTCTAGATAGCTCAGGGGAAATCTTGCAGGTATAATGGTGCATTGCAGACAGAATCAAAAGCCACCAAAGTAACTTCTAAATCCAGCTTCAATTAGCCAAACAGTACAGCTTTAGCCATTTCTACCAGTACCCTTTATAGCAACTTACAGTATACTCTAACAGACATATATGGAAAATATTATATGGATTTATTCCCCCTCACAAAAACGTGAATAAAGCATCATGCAAAACAGTGTTACCCACATTGGGCAGTGAGCATGGAGGAGGTAGCTTTTTAGCTTAATCTTTCATGGATTAAATCATGCATTCATCGTGAGACTGCAAGTTATTTGGAACCAGGAATGCATCTATTTTCACTACGTGACTCTGTTAGATACCCCCTAACATTGACAGATCTGAATGAATGCCAAGATCAAGCCATTGAGTCTATCTTTTGACCACAAATGATTCACTGATAGTTTAGGGAAATCATTCATACTTTACAAAATGAATCAATCTTCATTCATAAGGTAGGCAAGTCCAGATGTTTCTAATCTCAACTCTCTCATTTCCTCACCTTTCACTATGCGGGCTAGAAGTTGCAAGCAAACAAAACATCTGGAGCAGTGGTTCTCAACCTGTAGGTCCTGAGATGTTTGGCCTTCAACTCGCAGAAATCCTAACAGCTGGTAAACTGGATGAGATTCCTGGGAGTTGTAGGCCAAAACACCTGGGGACCCACAGGTAGAGAACCACTGATCTGGAGGGTCACAGTTGCACTCCATGGTATCCTTAGACCTCTTTTCAGCACCAAATTTCAACGTTATACTCTGACTTTTACCCAAAATTAGGACTCAGGGCAGCTTCCAACATTGCACTCTTTTCCTTTTTGCTATTCTTTTTTACCTCCTACCATCACCAGAGCATCACTGGGCCAACTGATGCAGCTTCACCAACACTATGCATTATGCATATGTTAATGTATTCAATAAACTTTTATCTTCAAATTATTGACGCAGATAAAACTATTCTCTTTCAGGACAAAAAATAAGCATCTCCATATCCAATTGCACCATGCCCTCTTTAAAGTCACCTTGTCTTTAAAAAATCTATATCTATAAAGCTTCAGTCATTGTTGTATTGAACAAGGCAAGTCAAGAAGAGTCCAAAAGCCAAGCTGCATATTCGTTATGATCCTACTGTACTGTAAGGATAGGGCTATACCGTTAAAATAGAGGTGGGTAATTAGAGTTATGAGGCTGCATGCATCCTCTGTTTTTGACCCCTTAAAACAGTGGTTCTCAACCTGTGGGTTCCCAGGTGTTTTGGTCTACAACTTCCAGAAATCCCAGCCAGTTTGCCAGCTGTTAGGATTTCTGGGAGTTGAAAGTCAAAACATCTGGGAATCCACAGGTTGAGAACCACTGCCTTAGAACTTCCAGAACTGTTCTTCTTAATGGTGAATTGGAGCTCCAAGGACTAGCAATTCGCCTTTCATATGTACTTGTGTACATAGAATCATAGCATTTGAAGAATGTCTATGAACCATCAGGTTTAACCTCCTGCATTGTTTATAATCCAAAAAATGCAAGGCTTTTTGGCTTTGGAGGTACATGACGTTCATCACATTGCTTAAAAATCTACCAGGTACTATTTGGAAGAGGGAGATGAAGAAGAAATAACAACTTCTTGCTTTCCAAAAGGGAGGGACCACCTTAAAGCCATACTATTATTATGGAATAATAACACTGAAATGGCTACTCCTTCACTTAAAGCACTGCAACTTCTTGCAAAATTGTAAAACAAGTTTACACATTAAGGGAACACACAGAGAAGTACATTTGTGTAACCCTTTCTTATCTTATGGTTTTTGACATTTGCAGGCACAACTTTGCCTAATTTTCTCCATGAAAACTAGAGGAGACAAGGAACACTTGATTCAATCCAACTTGTTCAGATCAGCAACGAGGACTCTTTATGTTGCTCATCTGTAATTATGCTGACAGCTTTAAAAAACTTTCCTTTTTCAAACTATAATTTCCAGAATCTTCCAGCCAGCAAGACAACTGTAATAGGAACTTTTCTGAGCATTGATTATGCGTACCATCATTCAAAAAGTCTGTGAATCTCACACAGCAAAATATCTCACGTTCAACTGTTGAGGACATGTTGTGTGTGTGTGTGTGTGTGTGTGTGTGTGTGTGTGTAACACCCGATGCTTTACTCAGTGTTTTATTTGTGGAAATGATTAACAAAGCAATTGCCTACAAGACTAACACAAAACGAAACACACCCATATCTTTTTCCCCCCAGTTAGTAGTGGAGATATGGTTAGAGCGATGCGCCACAGCATTAGAAGCCTTCAGAACCAATAACTGATGTGTCGATCAGCATGGTCTGCTAATCTACTTGTGGGTTAGATGCGTTGCCATGAGGTGACGATGAAGTTAGTTTGTTCGGTGGGTCTCTAAGGGGAAGGCCACAGCCCACTGGCCTCTGCATTACCATTATCGGGGTTGGTAAACATCCTACTTGCACTGGAGACAGTCTTCCCGATGTCAGCCAAGGACCGTAGGTTGGATTTTTTGGTCTGGTGCCGATGCTTCCTGAGCAGCGTGTAAGTGACTTTGTCCTTCATGTCCAGCTTCAATAGGCCGGTCTCAATCTGATTGTCAACAACCATCTCTGTTGCATGGAAAGAAGGTTAGGGAGAAAAGAAACGACAGAAAAAAAACAAATTAAGCAAAGCTTTGGATGTTCAGAAACTCCCTACACAGATTCTAACAGGTTAAACTATGAAGCCTTCTATAAAAACTTTTCCTTCTTTCTCTCTTTTTTAGAAAGTTTAGAAATGTCTACCAGTTTGCGCATGTCTGTTGTAGCCCTATCAAAAGATGGGTTTCAGAAGGTTGGGGCTTTTTACAGCACCAAAGAGTCTCTCTTAGCAAAGGAAATCCTCTTGTTGGAATTCAGATGAATTTTGTGGGACACAATGAAATTAACCATTAGAGGGTCCTCACAATGCCTTAAGTCTGGGCTCTTTCAGCTCCTGCAACCTTATTTGTCTAGTTACAAATGGGGCTGTAGTCCAACACATCTGGAAGGACACAGATGTGGTTAGCCTCTAGGACACTGAATAACAGGAGAGGTTATATTTATTCTTCTGAAAAAATAGGCTTTAAAGAAAAGGCATTAATGACAATAAGAATGACAAGAGAACAACAAACAACAATTGGTAAACTTAAGAGTTATCAGATCTCAATAACACCATTTGTTTGCTAACTCACTTATATGGTTGTTTGACTGAACCGTTAAATTGGCCAAAAAATGCAGAGCCAGAACTTGATCATACGCAATGATGGTTTGACCCTGGGGAATATTCTTGAACAAAGCCAAAAGTCAAGACTTTTTGGATGGAATCTCTGGGTTTTATTTCTCTACAGAGCAGAGTTTTGAAGTACTTACCTACTACCTGGGGAAGCGAGGATGCCTCCAAATCTAACAGGATTGACCCTTTCTCTATGCACGTCCTCAACTCAAACAAGCTGTGAAGAGACAACGTGGCGACGTGTGGTTTACTCCACCTTTCTCCTCCCTGTTCCACTTTTTCTTCAAATTTTATCCACCTGCAAGTGACAAAAGAAAATAAAGTATTGACAAAAATAACTTAGCACAGTGTACTCTTTTCAATAGTTGGTTCTAGTAGCAACTTTAACAATGCATAGCAGTTACTAAGAATTCATCTCCATGGGTCGTGCACTTCATTTCTGATAGAAAGGCAGCTCAAAGACATTCACGACAATAAATCACGGGAACCGTATTTCTCAATTCTTAATATTTTTATTTACCTAAATAATTAATTAATGGAAAACTTTATTTAGTCAGAATGAACAACGAGAATCAATTTGCCATCACCACAGAGACGAACATGCATGCATCTTATGTAGTTTGAGCTCTAAACTGTTGGAGCTCAGCCTGTGATTATGTTTAAGGACCAGGGTGTTTTAGATGTGGGGAGTGATGACAATGAGTTTCAAGAAGTTAATGGTTTGGTCAATGATATTGATGCAGAACATGATCAGGAGATCCCTGTGCAAAGTGTAGTTTCTCATGATAATGTCCCTTAATGAGCAAATAGATTGGAGCTGATTAGTCAAAATAGAAGAGCAGAGCAGTGGCTTCGGTGTTCTGCCAGGCTCTGAGAAAGAAAGATAAGAGATTCAAAGCTAAATTGAAACCAATTTCTGAGCAGTTGGGACATAGCTAATGAGGAGATAAAAGTCCCAAGTACAGGATCTGTAGTCAGATGAAGCATCATTTGGAATCAAGTCAAGATCTCGTTCTTGTTTCTTGGAAGCTTTACTTGGAAAAGATTCATGTTTAAAGTGGCTTTGTTTCATGGTTTTGATTCTTGGATTCTATGATTTTGTATTCACTTGCCTTGGATTCATGTTTCCTGGTTTCTTGGATTTTGTTATAGAAGTCTCTGCCTTGGTTTTTCATGGACTTTGATGGACTAATTCCCTGGACTATTTTGTTCCAGCTTATCTTCCTACCTAATTAGATTTACCTATTCCTTTAAAGTGCTTTTTACTTTACTGCTTTTGAATTATCTTCAATAAACAGATTGCATTTCTACTAAACTGTGTGGCGTTTAAAGTCAGAGGGCTTTTCCTGGTCTCGAGTGCAACATAAACATTGTTAAATCAACCAGTTATTTCATATAGGCTCCCCAAGTAGCAAGTTCTGCTTTAACCAGACATTGGATTAAGAAAAGGTAAGTTAAGTCCAAGTAAATGTCATTGATTCAATTAATTAAATCCAGTTGGAATTGAGTGTTCAAACACATCTGTAAACTAACACTGAAGCATGTCAGTCTGTTTCCATTTCTTTGGACCTCAGCACACTAGATAATGACTCCACTTTAAATCCAGTTGCAGCCTCCTGCAGAATTCTGGGGTTTGTAGTTTAGGGAGAAGCCTTTAACAGGCTCATTAAACTACTAATCCCAGAATTCTGCAGGAGACAGAAACCAGATTTAAAGTGGATTCATTCTCTAGTGCGATGAAGTTTGTGTTCAGTTCTATGATCTCTAAGACGGCAATGAGAATTATGCACTGAATGTTACTGGAGTTCAATTTCCATTGAAGTTTATTAAACTGCAAAAGCTTTGTTTTTGTGGGACATCGTGCAGGACATTTTGCTATAGTTTTTCAATTGATATCTCATCAGCAGAGACTCAACCAATTCAAAATATTTTGTGACAGTCACAAAAACGACATTTTTGGAGTATAACAACTACTTGCAAATTAAGTACCGCACGGTTCAACGGGGAATTACACTTTCAAACCAGGAACAGATTTTTTTTTCAAATATTGTGGCATGGTGTTAGTCTCCCTTGCTGCTTTCCTGAGCAAATATCCTTAAAATATCCTAAAGGCACCTAATCAAACAGATCTTGGAAGCTAAGCAGGGTCAGCCCTGGTTAGTACTTGGGCAGCAGACCACTCTTCAGGTGCTGTAGATTATATTTGAGGAGGAACTGTCACAACCACCTCTGAGTATTCCTTGCCCAAGAAAACCTTATTAATGCATTGTCGAAGACTTTCATGCCCAGAATTACTGGGTTGTTGTGAGTTTTCTGGGCTGTATGGCCATGTTCCAGAAGCATTCTCTCCTGACGTTTCACCTGCATCTATGGCAGACATCCTCAGAGGTTGTGAGGAATGTTGGAAACTAGGAAAATTGGGTTTATATATCTCTGGAATGTCCAGGGTGGGAGAAAGAACTCTTGTCCGTTTGAGGTAGGTATGAATGTTTCAATTGGCCACCTTGATTAGCATCTAATTGACTTCCAGCTTCAAGGTTTGGCATCTTACTGGGTTGTTGTGGTTTTCCGGGCTATATGGCCATGTTCCAGAAGCATTATCTCCTGACATTTCTCCTACATCTATGGCAGGCATCCTCAGAGGTTGTGGGGATTGTTGGAAACTAGGAAAATGGGGTTTATATATCTCTGGAATGTCCAGGGTGGGAGAAAGAACTCTTGTCTGTTTCAGGTAGGTATGAATGTTTCAATTGGCCACCTTGATTAGCATTTAATGAACTTGCAGCTTCAAGATTTGGCACCTTACTGCCTGGGGGAATCCTTTGTTGGGAGGTGATTAGCTAACCCTGATATTTTCCTGTCTGGAATTCCCCTTTTTTCTTTATTTATTGTTTTGATTTTGGAGTTTTTTAATACTGGTAGCCAGATTTTGTTCATTTTCATGGTTTCCTCCTTTCTGTTGAAATTGTCCACATGTTTGTGGATTTCAGTGGCTTCTCTGTGTAGTATGACATGGTGGTTGTTGGAGTGGTCCAGCATTTCTGTGTTCTCAAATAATATGCGGTGTCCAGTTCCTATTAAATTCATGGAGTCAACAAAAGTGAACTTCTGACTTAAATTCACTCTCACACACAAACACATTAACACACGCACAAGGCAAACCTAACACATGGCTTTCTATAGGAGATTTGTTCATATAAGGTTTGCCATCACCTTCCTTGGCATATTGACAAGCATACATAGAAACAGCAGATTGCTTAACAGGGAAGGCAAAAACATTTCATTTGAGCAACAACTGTATTTGCTAATTCACTCGCCCTCTGCCCCCCAAAGCACACTTTTCCTGTTATTTAATCCAGGCAGAGTTAAGTAATTTATTAAAGTAATTTACTTGAAGTAATATACTTCGTTGTGCTTTTATTGCATTTTTGTGCCTGAGGTGCTAATATAACTGCTTCATTTAAGTACTGTGCATTGGGGGAAGGGACAGCATTTTGCTGCTCTGCCTCAGGAAGAACAATATCTGGGATGGCCCCAAATGCAGAAATATCTAGATTTGCAGGACATCAGCCAGGACATAGGATGGCAAAGTGCAGGACCATAGGACGGCAAAGTGCAGGCCCCCAAATCTATGTTTGCAGATCCTGACCATGACCACCAGCAGATTCTGCCAATCTTTCCTTTTTCAACCTCAGTGAAGAGTAATTCACACTTTTTAAAATAGGCTGCAAGGGTATCCCATATTTTAGAAACATTTTTAAAAGACTCAGCTTTTAAAAAATAGACTTCCTGTCATTTCTGGGTTTGTTTATTTTTGGTTTTCATATTTTGGCACTTTTGAGATAGATATAGATATATAGATAGACATATACACACATACACACACACACGTGTGTGTGTACTTGCACATGCACATGCACACACATGAGATATATAGCCCCCAGAACATCCTATGACATACATATAGCCTCTGGACTCATCCCTGATGTCATTCTTTGATTCCCTACTCAATTAAAGGACAAGCAGAATGGCTAAATAAACTTAAAAAGCAAGAAATATCAGGGAAAGGATTAACTGGGAAAATATAGGTAAAGTTAAAGGTTGCCCCCTTTAACTTTACCGACTCTGGGAGTTGGTGCTCATTTTTATTTCTAAGCCAAAGAGCCAGCGTTGTCCATAGACACCTCCTAGATCATGTGGCCAGCATGACTGCATGGAGTGCCGTTACCTTCCCACCGGAGTGGTACATATTGATCTACTCACAGGGTTGTTGTAGGTTCTTTTGGGCTATATAGCCACGTTCAAGAGGCATTCTCTCCTGACATTTCGCCTGCATCTATGGCAAGCATCCTCAGAGATAATGCCTCTAGACCATGGCCATATAGCCTGAAAAAACCTACAACAACCCAGTGATTCCGGCCATGAAAGCCTTTGACAATACAACTTTGTTGGTGAGACAATTTGGACATGACATTTGTTTAATGGTTGACTCATAAATTTATGGCAAAGGAAAGGATCCTTGTTCAGGCCTTGGTGATGGGGTTATGCAATATTCCTGCTTCTTGGCAGGGGGTTGGACTGGATGGCCCATGAGGTCTCTTCCAACTCTTTGATTCTATGATTCTGTGTTTGTAAAATGTTCATTGCTTCATGTTCTGTTTATGTATGTAAATAAAATTTTATTTTAAAAAATTAAAGCACAAACACCAAAGGAAGACTGATTCCACCTTTTAAATTAAGCTGTGAGACAAACATTTGTGATGAAGCATGTAACAATATCTGTCTGGATTTCCTACTCTAAACGAAACAGGGAGACCTAACCTTGACCTAGACTGACCTAATATTGGATTTATGGTAACCAGGCTTGCTTGCTTGCTTGCTTCTTTTACATTTCACCTTTATCCCAATACAGATATTAAAAAATAATACAGGTCTTGGCTTTTTTTAAAGTACCAAAATGCATGTAATTTTATACAAGAACTGTATCACAAACCCTAGAGAACTGTGGAATGGGGAAAAGAATTAAACTCACTAGTCAATGGACATAACGAAACAATGTATTGTCAAAGGCTTTCATGGCCAAAGCACTAGGTTGTTGTAGGTCTTTCGGGGTTGTATGGCCATGTTCTAGAAGGATTATTTCCTGACGTTTCACCTGCATCTATGGCAGACATCCTCAGAGGCATCCTCACAACCTCTGAGGATGCCTGCCATAGATGCAGGCAAAACGTCAGGAGAGAATGCTTCTAGAACATGGCCATACAGCCTGAAAGACCTACAACAACCCATAACGAAACGTCTTGGAGATGGAACCCAAGTCTAAACACAAAATTGATGTATGTTTCAGATATATCTTATACACATCATCAGAAGGTAATATTATGCACAATTTTTAAAATAATTTTGTGCATGAAACACATTGAACCATCAGAAAACTATCACTATCTCAGCCACTCATGTGGTAACTTTTGGATTTTAGAAAATTTGGGAATTCTAAATAAGGGATACTCAGCCTGTATGGATTCTTTATCTACTTAGGGAAAATGTATTGTCGAAGGCTTTCATGGCTGGAATCACTGGGTTGTTGTAGGTTTTTTCGGGCTATATGGCCATGGTCTAGAGGCATTCTCTCCTGACGTTTCGCCTGCATCTATGCCAAGCATCCTCACTACCTCTGAGGATGCTTGCCATAGATGCAGGCGAAACGTCAGGAGAGAATGCCTCTAGACCATGGCCATATAGCCCGAAAATACTTAGGGAAAGTCTCCAGTTTTTGATTAAGTAGAAAACAGTGTTAGATTATTATATACGCACCGTAAAGGTACTAAACACCGTAAAGGTACTAAATCAGGCAAGGACAAACTTTGGCCCTCCAGGTGTTTTGGACTTCAACTCCCACAATTCCTAACAGCCTACCGGCTGTTAGGAATTCTGAAGAGTTGAAGTCCAAAACACCTGGAGGGCCAAAGTTTGCCCTTGCCTGTAATACATCCAACTTGATCCTGGAAGCAAAGCAGAGTCAGAATTGGCTAGTATTTGGATTGGAGACCATTGACAAATACCAGGTGCTGTAGTGTATATTTCAGATGAAGGAACTGGCAAAAACCAGTTCCTTACCTAAGGAAACTATGAAATTAATGGGGATGTCATAAGTTGATAGGCAACTTGAAGGCATACACCCACAATCTCATTCATATAGTTTTCCCTGATGACTATGTACAGGTGTAGAAATGTGGTTAGTTCTCTACATTGTATGTATGTTTGCTAGAAGAGACATTCATGTGTAACACGAGTATCTTCCCATGGTGAGCAGAATATATGAAACTGTCCTGAGGAGCAGGAATGCTGGAGGTAAGAACAAGGTGATAGTCACTGGTAAGGAGTATTAGATTAAGAAAATGTCAATAGTATGTGTAAGATGAATAAAATGACTACTTAAAACTATATGGGGAACAGGGATCCTGGAAAATAATGACTCGGCTTTCCATTCTCCAAAGGATTATACGTCACAGAGGTTTTTACCATCCAAAAGGAACAAAAGTTTTGGGGGGAAATAAGTTACATCACAGTAAGACTCAGTCAAGCCAACTGTATTGGTATTGTATTGTCGAAGACTTTCATGGCTGGAATCACTAAGTTCTTGTGGGGTTTTTTTTTTTGGGGCTATATGGCCATGTTCTAGAGGCATTTCTCCTGACGTTTCGCCTGCATCTATGGCAAGCATCCTCAGAGGTGAAGCATCCTCTGAGGATGCTTGCCATAGATGCAGGCGAAACGTCAGGAGAAATGCCTCTAGAACATGGCCATATAGCCCGAAAAAACCCACAAGAACTTATGTATTGGTATTATTGCTAACCTGATTATACTGATGGTGGCTGGATTAATTATTGCCTAACTGTGTCATCACTCCACCACAATTTATCTGTTTGCACTGTTCCCAAAGGGCTATAAACCAATTTGAATCTGAGACATGATTTTGTTTGTTTGTTCACATTTACACCCAAACTCAGAAGTTTTTCATCTATGCTAATATCAAAAAATAACAAGATGTATTAAACGATGCATTTCAGTCTGTCAGTTTAAAATTGTTCGACCATTTCCAATCCTGTAGATTACAGAATCTACAATAATATGCAAAAACAGCATTTCTGTCTTGCTTTTTGAGTGAAGAAAGTGTTTTGCATACACTATTCCATAATCTATTATTATTATTATTATTATTATTATTATTATTATTATTATCACAACAAGATGAGTCCACAGCAGACAAGATCACTCTGCTGGCTGTTGTATTATTATTATTATTATTATTATTATTATTATTATTATTATTATTATCATTAGATACACAACAAGATTAGTTCACAGGAAACAAGATCACTACACTGGCTTTTGTATTCAACCACATGTCAGAAACTTCCCAAATGTCTACAACTATGTGATGTATTATTACTATGTATGTGATGTACTATTATTATTATCATTATTATTAGATACATAAGATTGTTGTTGTTGATGTTGATGATGATGATGATGGTGATGATGGTGATGATGATGATGATMATTATTAGATACACAACAAGATTAGTTCACAGCAATCAAGCTCACTATGTTGGCTTTTGTATTCAATCACATGTTGGACACTTCCCAAGTGTCTAGGACTATGTTATTATGTATTATGTATGTGATGTAATATCATTATTATTATTATTATTATTATTATTATTATTATTATTATTATTATTTGATACACAACAAGAAGATACTATTATAATTATGTTTGTTTATATCCCATTTTTTCTCTCCATAAGGAGACTCAAAAAACCATCCCATGAAGTAAGGAGGTGTTATTATACCCCTACTGCAGATAGAGAACTGAGGCTGAGATAAGAACTTTCCTGGGGAAAAACTTTAGTGATTTAGGACCTTAGGAGAGATTTGAATAAGGGTATTTTAAAATCAAACCATAAAGCCAATACACCATACCAGTCATCTAAAACCAGAAGGATATTTGAAAGTTTTTTTGCATATTAGAATACAAGTATTACCTTTGCATTTTGCCTTCTCTCTCTGTCATTAGAATTAAGATAGGGCATTGAGTATCTCTATTAACCAAGATGAAAAAATGTAATAAATATTGGGATAACTACAAGAAAGGAGATTCCATCTGAACATGAGGAAGAACTTCCTGACTGTGAGAGCTGTTCAGCAGTGGAACTCTCTGCCCCGGAATGTGGTGGAGGCTCCTTCTTTGGAGGCTTTTAAACAGAGGCTGGATGGCCATCTGTCAGGGGTGCTTTGAATGCAATATTCCTGCTTCTTGGCAGAATGGGATTGGACTGGATGGCCCATGAAGTCTCTTCCAACTCTTTGATTCTATGAATCTATGATAAATCATCAAATACCCTTTTACTGGAACTCCACACCTCAGGGGAAAGAGGATGTCTGAAATTAAGGCAATCCATGGGATGCAGGTTCTTCTGCAAGGATTCTGGTGTGTCCTATTCAGAGACTCACAAACACACCCCAAATGCCCATATACCTGACCAAGCTACAAAGTCGTACTCACCTTGCCGTCTCCTTCCACTCCATCTCTTGCCCATCGACTGCCAGGAGTTCATCCAGTTCCGTGAAGAGCTGGGGTGGTGCAGGACTATCATCGTCTTCGCCCAAAATGAAGCGGATGCGTTCAGCGGCGGGGGAGACTGCAGAGGTGAAAATACTGCGATTAACGGACTGAAGGATGACCAAGGAGGCACGGTTCCTTTCCTTCCCCTTCTCCCCACATCCATTTGGCTGCTTCTCCTGGTCCTCGGCTCCATCTGACATCGTAGCTCTGAGTGGGGTCTGTTGCCTTTTTATTTATTTCCTAGAGGTGTCTTCCTGTCTGTTTGCCTTAGACTTACTTCTAAAAAAACTTCAAGCTCAGGGTAAAGTTCAAGAGAACATGTGTCTTCTTTCCCCACTCCTTTAAGCTGTATGTTAACAGCAAACCCATGCAGCTTGTTGTCAAAAACAGAAGAGAACGTCTAGGCTCAGCACCAATTTGCTCTATGGTGCATGCCCAGGGACCTTTAGTACTCTGATCAGCTGAGGTCCTTTAAAGTCTGTTTCTTTATAGGCAAAGAACCAGTTTGAGCCAAACTATTGGGGCACCCTATGAAGAGGAAGTGGCTTCCCATTGCCAACTCCCCCCTCCCTTTTGGACAAAGCTGGGACTTTCAATTGGCTTGCCGGGCAGCATGTAACCCCCTCCAAGACTCATTACCAGTGTAAAAGGGAATATTTAACAAAATAGACCGTCTCCTTCGTTGACATGGGAAGCTGTGTGCTTTGGTCCATTTAGTCAAGTATCAAAGACCATGAAAGGGGGGAAAAGGGATTAAAAATAAAAGCACAAGAAAGCAACCATCTACAGGAAAAACACCAACTATATAACTACTTTTGGGGCACAGATACTCAGGAGCTCTTCTGACTTGCTAAGCAAATGATGGGTGATACAAATTTTAGAACTATTCCATTTATTCTGCAGAGAGAGATACAAGTCTGGCACTGTCCTGTATCCTGAACAAGGAAGCACAACTAATACATCCCTAAGGACCAGAGTGCAATTCATCAAATGCCGTTTCATACAGGTAAATCTGGACCTTCCACTGAAATCCCAAATTGGCAGCCCTGCTAATCTGTTGTAGCAAAGACAGGAAAGAATGCAGCCATATCTCAAAACCTTGCAATTTAATCTATAGGTCTTTCAGAGTGACTCCATAGTCAACGTCCAGAAAATGTTGACCACTTGGATTGGATAATCTAGAGATGTCTAAAGACAACATTTTATTCAAATATGTGAATAATCAAATCTGGAAAAAAAGGGAAATTGTGGTATCATCATATCATGTCGGGTGGTGCATCAAAGGAGTTTCTCAGAAGTTACTCAAGGAATCAAAATGTTAGATTCGGCGCATCCCATTTGAATAAGGGTTTCAAACATTCAACCAAATCACTGTTCAAATTCGTTCCTCTTTGAGTTTCTACTCTTTCTCATGGCCCAGGCCAAACCTGGATAGTGTTTCATTAGCAGAAGAGATGAAGGACTCTGAGGAGAGAGCTCCCATTTCCTTAGATTGTGGTAGGATGCATCCACTGAAGACACCCCGCTTCTGGGGATTTCCACAAAAAAAGGAGACTGTGGTGTCTTTCGTCTACAACAGTGTTTCTCAACTTGGGGGTATGGACCCCTGAGGGGGTCACGACAGGGTTTCAGCAGGGTCGCCAAAGACCATCAGAAAACACATATTTCTGATGGTCTTAGGAACCCCCTTTGGCAGAGAAGGCTGAAGATCTCTCCACCTGTCCTTCTCTTCCTTTTTGGAAACAGACAGCAAATCCTCCCACCAAAAGCCCTCCTCTGCTGTGATTAGCTGGCCTCTCAGCCAAGGGGAAGGCTGTTTCTGAGACTGAAAAAAGGGATAGGAGAGCAGGCGTGCTTGGCGCAAAGCAGCGTGGTGCATATGTGAGGGTGAGGGAGACTGAGGCTGGAGGGAGGCCCATGCCAGATAGTCCCCTCAAGCCATGGGGGTTCTGTGTGGGAAGGTTGGACCAACTCCCAAATTTCAAGCTCTATTTTTCCCAAAGTCCACCAGTGTTCACATTTGGGCATATTGAGTATTTGTACTGAGTTTGGTCCAGATCCATCATTGTCTGAATCCACAGTGCTCTCTGGGTGTAAGTGAACTACAACTCCAAAACTCAAGGTCAATGCCCACCAAACCCTTCCAGTATTTTCTGTTGGTCATGGGAGTTCTGTGTTCCAAGTTTAGTTCAATTTCATCACTGGTGGAGTTCAGAATGCTCTTTGATTGTTGTTTAACTATAAATCCCAGCAACGACAACTCTCAAATGTCAAATGTCTATTTTCCCCAAACTCCACCAGTGTTCACATTTGGGCATATTGAGTATTCATGCCAAGTTTGGTCCAGATCCATCAATGTTTGAGTCTGCAGTCCTCATGCGAGTTCTCTGGGCCAACCAAGTTCAGAATGCTCTTTGATTGTAAGTGAACTATAAATCCAAATAACTACAACTATAAATCCAAACAACCCACCAGTACTCAAATTTGGGTGCATCGGGTATTTGTGCCAAATTTGGTCTAGTAAATGAAAATACATCAGATATAATATACTATAAAATACATCAGAAAATATATCAGTTATTTAGATTACAATTCAATCATCATAGCAAAAATTACAGTGATGAAGAGGCAATGAAAATAATGTTATGGTTGGGGGGGTCACCACAGCATGAGGAACTGTATTAAGGGGTTGCGGCATTAGGAAGGTTGAGAAACACTGATCTACAAGGGACCACCTGGCCCAAAACACCAAACACTGCTAACTTCTATCAAGAAACCTCCTTTCACTTCTAGGGATGCCACTTTTACTGTTAAGCCAATCAAAAATGCAGGAGTAAAGGAGACATATGGCTCAGAATTATGACCCAGTCCATTTGATCGAGAACAGCCCTCCACAGAGAAGATTTCAAGATTTGGCCACACAGCTACATACAGCATTTTTTTTCAGCTTCAACAGCCTCCAAGTTATTGGCTTTCTGATTAAGGTCCCCTTGGCTGACCAAGTGTCCCACAGTGCGCTGACCAAGGTACTCCTGGACAGCCACTGTATCTTCCTTCCTATTATGAGATGTATGATAATAATATTTATTCATAACACCTTGGGACATCAGATATATACAATGAGAAACTAAGACAAGGAAACCTAATACTATAACTACAGTAGAACTCCCCGTATCCACAGGGGATATGTTCCTAACTAGTCCAGGGTTACCAGAAACTGCTGATATGATCAAACACCATTAAATTGCCTGAGTTCCAATCCCAGAATACCATAGAGAGAGAAAATTGTGCAGAAAATAACCCTTTTCCTATAGATTTTAAATTCCTAAATGGTGCATATCATGCTAGCCAATTATTATTATTATTATTATTATTGACACAAAAGCACAGGATGTCACAGCAAATGAGATCTATATGCTGGATTTCATATCACAAAATCACAAGTCGAACACTTCCCAAGTGTCTAGGACTGTGTGATGTATTTTCGAATGATGTACGCATATCCAAGTAAGGTGGCCTGTTGCAGTTGACAGATTGTGATTTTGTCGATGTTTATTGTTTCCAACTGCTGGCTGAAATCTTTTGGCACGGCACCCAGTGTGCCGATGACCACTGGGACCACCTCTACTGGTTTATGCCAGAGCCTTTGCAGTTCGATTTTGAGGTCTTGATAGCGGCTGAGTTTTTCCTGTTGTTTTTCCTCAACGCAACTGTTACCTGGTATGGCGACATCAATAATCCAGACTTTTTTCTTTTCTTTTTTCTATGGCGTGTTGTGTTCCAAAACTTTGTCAGTCTGGACTCAAAAGTCCCACAGGACTTTTGCATTTGCATGTTCCTCTTCTTCTTCTTCTTCTTCTTCTTCTTCTTCTTCTTCCTATTATTATTATTATTATTATTATTATTATTATTATTATTATTATTATTATGTATACCCTCTTTATCTCTCCCGAAGGGGACTCAAAGCCACTAAAGTATTGGAAGAGATTTGAGTGCCAATTCCTATATACAAGTGCCAACAGTCTGAATCAGGCCTTGGCCCACCTGGTAGCCAAGGGATCTACAGAAAAATGTGAATACTTAGGGAGATTTAAAACAACCCAGGCACTGTTCTGAATTAAAGCCAGAAGAAAAATAGAGCAAGAAGGTAAACTCACCAGTAAACTATTACAATAATCCAGCTGTAACATAACCAATGTCTGAACAAACAAATGGGCAGTCTCAACAGTCAAGAACCTATGGATCCTATGGATGTCCAAAAGATGCAAATTATATGTTTTTGCTTTCACCTTCTTATCTACAAAGATGTAGTGTTCACTGTTGGTGCTGTTGTTCTTTATTTACTAATTTATTTAATTATATCCCGACTTGCCTCCATGAAACAAAAAAGTATCCTGCATGTTCCAGCCTCCTGGCAAACCTAAGAGGGATTTATTGTCCCAAGAATACCTAGTGAGCTTCATGGCTGAGTAGAAACTTGAATGTAGCTTTCTCCAGACCTAGACAGCAGGAATCATAGAATCATAGAGTTGGAAGAGACCTCATGGACCATCTAGTCCAACCCCCTGCCAAGAAGCAGGAATGCTGCATTCAAATCACCCCTGACAGATGGCCATCCAGCCTCTGTTTAAAAGCCTCCAAAGAAGGAGCCTCCACCACATTCCAGGGCAGAGAGTTCCACTGCTGAATAGTTCTCACAGTCAGGAAGTTGTTCCTAATGTTCAGATGAAATCTCCTTTCTTGTAGTTTGAAGCCATTGTTCCGAGTCCTAGTCTCGGAAGCAGAAAACAACATGCCAACCTGAACCCTACGTTATTGCCATCATGGTTCCTCTGAAGCCCTTAGCGCTCCAAGTAGACATTTACAATTGGTTGCAGAGATATTGCAAATGGCTCTAGGTTTGGGTGAATTCTGCAATTAGATTTGACTTTATGCAATTAAAGTGGCCTATCCTGGTGTAGGCACATAAATTCACAAGTATTTTTCCCTTCTGAGAGGTGATGAATAATTCCTAGAGGAAAAATGAGCATTCCTCCTCAGTATTCTCCCCTTATTCCACCATCTTGAAGCCCTGTG